TTAAATATTTGGATTGTACCCTCTGGAGGAAATATTATTAGTTTCAGTTTACCAAAGATTAGGACCCTGAGAGAATGGGTGAAAGACAATAACCTTCTGCTTACAGCCTGGCTTGAAAGGTTCATTCTGAATGTCTTAGATATTTAAGGACGACACTGGTGTGGGAAAACTGAAGCCCCATTAAAGCTGAGACCCTAAGACCCCATTACATAGTACAGCACTGATACAGAGGCAGGCACCGGCTGGCTGCTGAGCAAATGTTTGTTGCACAAATGAATATGTGACTGAATTCTTAACAGGGAATGGAAGAGTGCTGAGGACACATCCCCTGAGTTTCCCACTTGGTCGGTCACTGCCAGTTGGGCCACTATGTACAACTGTGTATGTTGCACACTGCAAAATGTCAGACAGCACCATTCACATGAAGATGCAAACAGAGAAGTCTGGCTGTTCCTCTCATGTCTTACCCCTGCCCAAGTATGATAGTCAGTCTCAAAGATGGCCCCCAAATCCCTGTCCCCCCTGGTATCCACACCCTTGTGTAGTCACCTCCCACGTCATACCAGGATTGGTTGATGTAATGCTGAGATGTGATAGTACATCACTTCTGAGATTATAAAAATTGTTAGGCCTACCATCTTGGTTCATTCTCTCTCTCTCTCTCTTTTTCTCTCCCATCACTCGTTTTGGGGGAAGCCAGCTGCCACATTGTGAGTGGCCCTAGAGAGAGGCCCACATGGCTAGGAACTGAGGCCTCATCCTGAAGTCCACCGACAAGTGAGCTTGGAGGCAGATCCTTCTAACTTTAGCCGAGCCTTCGGATGATGCCACGCTGCTCGACATCTGCAGTACATGAAAAACCCTGAACCAGAAACACCCAGTGAAACCACTTTTGATCCTTGAGATAATCAATGTTTTTCAGCCACTAATTTTTGAGGGTAATTTGTTGTGCAGCAATAGGTAGTGAACACACATGCTCCCTGCTCTCTAATGATGGCGTTCCCTCCTCGAGTCCTCTGTGTACCAAAGATGCTACAGCTGCAGTAGTTCCTGCCTGCGAGGAGTCTCCCTCACTCCTGAAATGAGCTGTTGCATCTGACATCCCAGACACACAGAGGGGCTTAAGTAGGTGCTGAGATATGGATAAAGAGTCTCAAGAGAGAGCATAGGCCAGGAATGGAAAAAAAAAGAAAAGCAATTCAGAGTGGCTTTCTTTCAACCTCACAAGAGTAAGAAAGGAAGACTCAGCTCAGCTCAGAGAAAGACTATCAGAACAAAGGAACGAATGGTGACACCTAAGAGTCAGAGATGTGCTAAGCAATGAGATTATAGACACGATTTCTTTGTTGTGGTTATCATATTGTTAAGGGTGCAATAAATAAAGATATTTTAAACTTAAGGAAAGCTCAGAAGGAAACAAAGACAGAAGGAGGGAAACCCTTTCCTTGATCTGCACCTTTCTTGCAGGACAGATGTTTTGGAGCTGGGCTGTCCGGACTCACGATCCTGGTTCTACTTCCTTACTGTGTTCATGGGCAAGCTTCTTAACTTCTTACTGACTCAGATTCCTTGTCTACCAATGGGGCTGATTTCAATGACTAATACACAGGGTAAGGGACAAGATTAAACAAGCTAGTATACGTAAGCAATTTAAAGAGAGGTTGAAACAAAACAGGTGTCATAGGAGAGGGAGCCTTCCTAGTGGTTTGGTAGGTGGGAGGTCATGTCACTCTGCAGCCTGGGTGCTAGTATCTTACTTGAGTTTGCTACTTTTTCTTGCAAATAGCCTCCCAGATAGTCACAGCCGCTTGCCTCTCTGCATCCTTTACTATTTAAAAGCCCCTCCTTTGCTGTGAGCTCTCCAAGGGCAGAGACCATGCTTACTATCTGTGTGTCTACACTTTAGGATAAAGAGTAGGCATCCCATAGAGACAGTCACATTAATGAATATACCTGCTTTTCAACTGCCTTTCTTCAAATTACGGAATTTGGGGAGGTAGGTATAAATGTTCTGCTTTGACTTTCACTTCAACAACAATTTCAAAGAACATATAAGCTCTTTACTATTTGTTATAAATTCAGAAACTGTATTAATGAATATTTTCCTGAGTTTTATGAACCCTCTCGCCCTCTCTGGAGATTCCATTAAGAAAAATTACTTGATTTCCTTATATGTGGCCAAAATGAAAAAGCTGCTATTAGCTGTCTTTATCTTACTGCTTTTTCTCTTCTACAGTCATCTTTGCACTCCCTTCTATGCTTGGAAGTGCACAGTGTTTTAATAACAGCTTTATCAAGATGTAATTTACATGTGGTACATATATACAATGGAACACTACTCAGCCATAAAAAAGAATAAAATAATGCCATTTGCAGCAACATGGATGGGCCTGGAGATCGTCATTCTAAGTGAAGTGAGCCAGAAAGAGAAAGAAAAATGCCATAGAATATGACTTATATGTGGAATCTAAAAAAGAAATAAGATTTAAAAATAAGGACACAAATGAACTACTTATTATTTATAACTTAGATGATCGATTTCTCGAATATGTGTAAGCACATCTGTCCTTTATGATTGGATTACCACATTCTGTTGATTCTTATTTTGTGGTTGGCTTTATTCTTTTTATAACTATGTAAGTTTAAAAAACTAAAACTCTAATCCGTTCTTAGAAACAATGATCAGTACATATATGTAAAATTAAAAAAATATGTGCAGTAAATTGTATATATGTATCTACATGCAATATAACGTGTATCTGCAGTCAAATTGTAACAGTTCTATGTGATAAAACTGAAAAAGAAAAAAGGATATAATTCACCGAGTATGTAATTCACCCATTTAAAATGTATAATTCAATAGTTTTCCATATATTCACATATTCACGGGAGGGCACAATTTTTGTGAATGGAGATTTATCTTACTGGCCTGGCCCCATTCAAGTTGTGTTCTAGAATGGTGGCATATGAGTTGCACCTTCCAGGACATAGACAAGATGAAGTTAAAAGTGCCACAGATTTATTTATTTCTCTAAGCAAGAGAAAGGGAAAGGAAAGCAGAAGGAGGCAGGGAAAACCCCAGATCCTAGTGCTTCCATTGCGCTTAGTCCTTTGCTGAAATTGCCTGGGAAGAGCATGTCCTCGGTTCAAAAGGTAAGTGGGTTCTGAAGGCACTTACAGCCAGAAGCTCTCAGCTAACTGAACTCCCTGCATCAGATGGGTGAGTTCTTGCTTGAAGAGGGGTCCAAGCCACGCATCTCCATGGTGACAAGCTCCCCCTGCGTCTCTGTCATTAGAACTGCACATGCGTGGACATAGCTTGGCACTACACTTCTGTCTGTCCATCCACCTTGGACTTGCCCACCTGGATGACCTCCTGCACTTGTGCTACTACTCACCACCTCCACCTAAGTTATGAACTTGTGCTTTCAATCACAGCTGATATCCGGCCCCTAATTCTTCCATTTGCATTTGCTTAACAGCTGATGTGTCCCATCCCATGCTGTGCTCAACTTCCGTGAGACTGGCCTCAAAGAATCAAAACAAATGCCCGAGCTCTCTGGTGGTTTAGTCAGAGTGAGTAGGGTAGTAGCTTTCTAGTTAATTCCTATCATTTCTCGCTCTTTTGAAGGTACGAGAAATGGGCCCACTGAAGGATGTGCTGAAGAATATGTAAGAATTCAGAGTCTGCTTTTTTCCCCCGACATGTTCCCAAACTACATAAGGAGTTATGCACCTGTGGGAAAGTTTCGATGGAAGAACTAAATAGAGTTTTCTCTCTGCTTGTCCACAGTGAGGGCGGACATCCACCCTCTCCTCTGTCTATCTTCAGCATAGCTCTTCCAAGGATGCTCACAGCACACTGCTTCTTTTTTTCTTCTTTTAAATTGAAGTATTGTTGATTTACAATATTGTGTTAGTTTCTCTTTTTGTTAGTTTTTTCTTGGAATCTATTTTTTAATTTTATGTTTTATTGAAGTGTAGTTGATTTACAATGTTAGTTTCAGGTGTACAGCAAAGTGATTCAGTTATACATATACATATACATACTTTTTTTTCAGATTCTTTTCCATTATAGCTTATTATAAGAAATTGAATATAATTCCTTGTGCTATACAGTAGGTCCTTGTTTTTTTAATCTGTTTTATATATGGTAATGACAACACTCTGCTTCTTTCTTTTTTTTCAGGGGAGGAGATAATTAGGTTTATTTATTTGTTCATTTTTAATGGAGGTACTGGGGACTGAACCCGGGAGCTCATGCGTGCTAAACATCCACCATACCGCTGAGCTATACCCTCCCCTGCACACTGCTTCTTAATCTACGACTTAGAGGATATGAACTGATACACATGGTATGTGTGTAAATATCTTTAGAAAGTGTATATGCAATTTATTCTTAAGTTGACTCTCAAAATTTATAATTAGCATTGAATGAGTAATAAAAATTGTTTTGCAAATACCATTAGCAAGCTTCTGGATACTTTTTTTTCTCTGATATATAGACTAAATTTTCATCAGTGAAATCTTTTTTTTCCCCACATTACATTCAGGTTTTAAATTTTTTCTTTAATTTTAATTTTTTTGAAGTGTAGTTGATTTACAAGGTTAGTTTCAGGTACACAGCAAAGCAATTCAATTTCACATATACGTACATTTTTTTCTTTTCAGATTCTTTCCCATTATATGTTGCTACAAGAAATTGAATATAGTTCCCTGTGCTATACAGCATTAGGGCTTTGTTGTTTATCTACTTTACATATAGTAATGTATATCTGTTACCCAAACTCCTAATTTATCCCTCCCCCACCCTGTCTCAGTGAGATCTTATGGAAGATGACCAATCACAGAGAAG